ACCCTGACTTGAATAGGTGTGGTTTTGGATAGTGGATTCTGAAGGAGTTATTACAACAAATTTATCAAGTTGCGTAGCCAGGTACAAGGGTAGGTGCCTGCAATCCTAACTACTCAAAAGCCTGAGGCAGGAGGATCACTTGAGCCCAGGAGATTGAGGCCAACCAAGGCAACACAATAGTTTAATCTCAAAGGCACACAGAGAGAGTGGAGAGAGATTTTGAGGTACAGGGAGAAAGAACAGAATAGACAAGGGGAGAGAAATCCCTCAAGATGCTAAACTTACTGATCAGAAGGCCCCAGGGTGCCCCCCCAAACAACACAGGTTGTTGCTATCACTCCTAGTTGCTCAGTATAGTTAGCATGTATTACTCTAACGCAGAAGAAACAACACACATTGATTACAGGACATTGAGAAATCAAGCTGGAACTAATCTGCAAACTTCCTCTCTGCTGGTGAGTTTTCATAGTGCCCACAGTATTACGTAGGTAGGCTGCGGGATGAGAAGTAACCCAGGGTCTTACCCAGTGGTAGACCCAGTATGCTACAATACTGACCTGCTAGGCAAGTGGTACCTACTGGTGCAATGGCAACATGACCACAGTGGGGGTAAACAAACACTTTGTGATTCGATTTGAAGCCTCTCTACAAGAAGGAATTAATGGCTGGACCACAAACTGGTCAAAAAGCCCACGGCTCAGATCACAGGCCCATGGGGACAACCTATTATCATTTTTCTAAATGGATATGTTGTCAAACTGCCTTCTAAATATTTACGAGTATACCCATAGATTTATGCCGCTCTCAACCTTTGTCAAAGAAACTTCTGTTTGCAGTTGACAGTGGTTAACACAGAGACTCATAATGGGCCAAAGTGCTGAGAAGAAATGACTATTGAGTGCTCAGCTCTAAATGGGACATTTATATTAACCCCTACTCACCCGAAGCTCACGAATATCATGAAAGAGAGAACAGAAAGTGTGGGAGCCCACAGAAGTGGTTCTGTTCCATCTTGACAGAAGTTCAGAGAATCCAGGCCTATTCTTGTGCCTTCAGGGATATGACAGGAGGTTTGACTCAGTGAGTGGCTGCTACAGGAAGCTTGGTCTAAGGTGTGGTTGCTGCATGTCCTACTTAACAACAGAACGCTTAACTCAAGATATAGTTTCTTGATGTTTCAGGTACTGAAGCAGGTAATTATTTTTTGTGTCATGTTAAGCAGTCTTTTGCCTTCTTCCCCATTTTTGGATTGGGGTTTATAAGCATATGGAAAATAAACATGAGTGAAGTTAGTATTCACTGGATTTTCCTCCCGGGTCTATTCTGCTTCTCTGTTCCTTTTCTTTTGTATCTCTGCTCTTCTCATTTAATTTTCTAATCCTTATGCCCCTACCCTGGAACATGCAAACCCTGTCGAGATTGGATCCCAACAGACTGCACCCCAGTATGGTGCCCTGACAGATGTTGCCCCAATGTGGGGCCGCAACAAGAAAGAATATCAGATGTTGTCTTCTGGATGTGACATAGCCATTAGTCTTACGAACTTACAGCAGCTATGGCCACCTACACAAAGTCTATATAAGATCAAGCCAGTCAACATTCCAACGAGAGTTCACCTCTAGATAAGAAGGAGTCAGCAACTGTTAACTGTTGAAAGGAGAAGAGTTACTTTTCTTTGGAGTTGTGGCTTCTGCTGTGTTGCTTGTGCTATGGTAGATGGTCCCTATCCTGCTTTGCTTTCTATTGCTGTGAAAAAGGCCATGACAAAAAGCAACTTAGGGAGGCAAGGGTTTATTTGGCTTACACATCCCCATCACAATCTATCACAGGTCAAGGCAGGAACTCAAGCAGAGTAGAAGGTGAAGCAGATTTCCTGGATTGCCCATCATAGTTCACTCAAAACTGTCTTTCTTATTCGACCCAGGACCGCCTACCCAGGAATGGCACTGCCCACAGTGGGGTGAACCATCTCACACCCATCATTAATTGAGAAAATGCCTCACAGACATTCCCACAGTACAATCTGATGGAGGCAATTTCTAACTGAGCTTCCCTCTTTGTGTAAAGCTGGCAAACCAACCAGAAAAGCTTTAGACACATTCATTCAGACAGCATTAACTAGACTATGTGGGCTTTTAAAGAGAGCACAAATAAATGTAGGAAGTGCTGAGGAGGTCTGGGGCCTCCTCAGATGAATGGATTTGGGTTATATACACTAATGATACATTGTATAATGCATGAAACTGTCAATGAATAAATAGAAAGTATCTTTACTTTTTAATTTTATTTTTTGTTTATTGAGACAGGTTTCTCTGGGTAGCTTTGGTGCCTGTCCTGGAACTAGCTCTTGTAGACCAGGCTGGTCTCGAACTCACAGAGATCCGCCTGCCTCTGCCTCCTGAGTGCTGGGATTAAAGGCGTGCGCCACCACTGCCTAGCTAATAAAAAGTATTTTAAAGAGATGCTAGAGGTGATTTACAGTCTCTTACCGTGGTTCCTACCAGTGTGTCCATCAGCTGTGTGGTTCTAACACTTCAGGTACGATGGGTCAGGCTGACTCAGAATCCCAAATGGTTCATAATTGGTTCTAGTTGACAGCCTTAGAATTCTAAATCCAGTTTGAATTTGAGAAATTTCCAGGGCCATGAGAGCAGCAATAGTGCATGTGACAAAACTCCTGCACCCACGGCAGAGGGCACCAATGGGATGCTCTGTTCTTACTCACAGAGCTTCACGTGACCCAAATCACCCCATCAGGCTGTTTCCCATTGAGGCAAAAGACACACATGATACCAGTCATCTGGACCATTTTTAGTGGTGTGTGTTGAGCCCATCCACATTGTTCATTGCCCATCTCCAGAACTGTCATCTTCTCCAAAGACACCCATGCAATTCTAATTCCTCATGTCCCCTTCCTGCAGTTCCAGGCACACCCTCCACATTTTGTATCTGAAAATCTCACTACATACTCTGTGTGTGTGTAATATATGTGGGTGTATATATATTCACTAAAATGAATATATATATATATGGAGCCATCCACCCAGTATTTGTCCCTTCATGACTGGCTTATTCAACTCATGTCTTCAAGGCTCATCCAACAGCACACACCAGAACTCACTTGCTTTTCACTCATTCCTCCACTGATGGGCATTAAGGTTGTTTCTCCTTTGTGCTACTGTACACAAACAACTCTGTGAACACAGATATCCAAATACCCTCTTCAGCTGCTGCCCCTACTTCCAGAATCACTGAGTCATATGGAAATTCTGCCAGAATCAACAAAGTGCTAAGTAGCCATTGTCCATTGATCAAAGTTAACAAAAGAGGCGGAAGTCTTTTGTCAATTTTGAAGTGTGATCATTTCTCCTAACTGTGACTCTGGGATACCCACACTTTCCAAAGTGAGCTTATAAAGGCAGGGTTTGCCAGGCAGCAGTGAGCTTGGCACCAAGAGGCATGTACACCTGGGTGCCTTTTGAAGGGCAACAGGGAGAAGGAACACCAAAGAAAGGACACCAGGGCAGGAGCAGCCAGCATGCAAATGAGCAGGGCAGAGGTGAGGCTGGAGAGCAGCTCCCGCACAGAACAAGTGCAGAATGTCGAAGGGCTGTGTGGATGGGGCAGAGGGGCTACCCTACATCCTGGATTCAAGTAGCACTAGGATATTTCTTTTCCCTCTTATTTCTGTGTTCTGTCCCTATACTTCTCTATTGTTCATGAATAGAAGCTTCAAATGGATCAGCCTTTTATTACATCCTCAAGTGCAGGGCCTCGGGCATGGCCCAATGTACCATTCACATTGTGTCGCTTGTGTATGGCACAGTGTGGTCATGTACAGTGCACCTGCATAGCAACATAACTATGCACAATGGAACCCAAATAAAATATTGTAAGTGTATTTACACATGCCCAACAGAACCCAATAATAAAATATTTTAAGTTGGGCTGGAGAGATGGCTCAGTGGTTAAGAGCATTGCCTGCTCTTCCAAAGGTCCTGAGTTCAATTCCCGGCAACCACATGGTGGCTCACAACCATCTGTAAAGAGGTCTGGTGCCCTCTTCTGGTCTGCAGACATGCTCACAGACAGAATATTGTATACATAATAAATAAATTATTAAAAAAATATTTTAAGTGTGCATCTATACATGGGTTTTCATATAAAAGTTTTGCTGTGCCATCATTTTTGAAACTTATTAAAATTAATGTGTGTAGATATACATGTATACAAAGTTGTCTATGATATTTTCTTTAAACATTTGTTTATTATATATGCAGTGTTCTGCCTGCATGTATCCTTGCAGGCCAGAAGAGGGCACCAGATCTCATCACAGATGGTTGTGAATCACCATGAAGTTGCTGGGAATTGAACTCAGGACGTTAAGAGCAGGCAGTGCTCTTAACTCCTGAGCCATCTCTCCAGCCCTGTCTATGGTATTTTTATAGTATAAAAATGTCAACATATTCACAAATATCACACTGGCTGCATAAATTGTAGCAGAGGTACATATACTAATTTTTTAAATGAATAATTAAAAGGCCATTGATAAGATGTAATTTAATCTCCCCCCCCCCCAAAAAAGGAGAATGATTTATCTTTGTCTTGGTTCTGATTCAAGGTCTTACTATATATCCCTGGCTGGCCTGGAACTAGCTCTCTAAACCAGGCTGACTTCAAACTTACAGTGATCCTCCTGTCTCTGCCTCACAGGTGCTGGGATCACAGGTGTGAGCCACCATTATCAGCTCAAAGATTTCGTGAGTAACATACCATCATAAATGTTTGGTCTTTATTTATTTAAAAAGATTTGAATTTGGTAAATCAAAGTGTTTAATGAACAACAATCATCGTATAATGGATGAGGTAATTTACCACCCCATCAGGTTAGAAATATATGTCTAGTGAAATGGGAGAGTGGTTGAATTTGTGTTTTGTGCACATGTAGAAAGAGACAAAATCTGTGTCTCCAGGAATTCTGGGAAAAGCACAAATTCAAATACTTTTGTTCACTTTTATTTAACTCAAAATAGCTAGTAACATAAAAACATTTTAAAAATTATCTCTAATACGTCACCATTTAGCTATTTTTCGCTGACGACACTTGATTACTTTATTTCTAACATGTAATTACACAATCAATCGTAAAAACGTTATCTTTAAAAGTTCGCAACAGGCTTTCGATCTGTGGGGTTAGACGCTAATAAAAATTCATGACGTGGTACTTTCAACTGTACAAATTTTCTCCAACATTTAAATTTATGAAAACTTATAACCATAAGTAGGTTATGTGCATCAGTACATACACACAGGTAGGACATACATTCTACAAAAGATGACCATGTGTTTAACTCCCAGGAGAGAAGACATCATCAAACATCTAACTCACATTAATCCATACATGATGCCAGCGAAGAGAAACCTGGAAGAACAACCACACAAAAGCCTGTGGCAATACCATGACTGTACACCATGGAGGAAACCCAGACACAAACAGTTCATCTGTGCCTGCTGCCACCAGTGTCAACTCACATCTGACTCCCACTGGGACAAGAACTTGTAGTGTGAGGCTAGTGTTTAAAGCGTGTTCTTCCTACAGGAAAGGGCCCCTGGGACTTCACTGGGGTGCCAACTGGCCTTCAGAGGGGCACTCATACTTTCCAATACTAGAGGAAAAAAGGGGAGGCCAGACTTCCAGTATAGTGTCTTCCTAGGGGACTCTCAAGGATTGCGCCAACACCCCATTTCATCTCAAGCACCGATGCTGGAAGCCAACCCGTAGGTGGGAGGCAACACCCCTGAAGTGGGAACTAAACGCATTCTAGTCTTCAGTGCATTCTACTGTCAGTATAACTGGATGTCCAGGCTGGCTTTTTCCTCACACTTAGCAGTAGGTTCCAGGGCCCTCTTTTGGTGCCAGCACCCCTGAATACGGTAGCCCCTGCTGAGAAAAAAATCTCATGATGTAAAGATGAGTGTTGTCAAGGTCCAAACAAAAGGCCACCAAAGACGCTCAGGGTCAGCAGGACTCGGGATATGATTTCCAATTAGCAAATGGTGCAGTTGAAGCAGAGATGGTTCTGTTTGGTGACACTCGGTGCCCCCAGTAATCCATTGCGGCTTCCTTGTCCTGACTTCCCATGTTGGAATCTCCCCTTTTCACTCCAACAATTGGCCATAAGCTGCTGCCCTGGTTCAGTTTCTAATTTTAAAAGCACCATTCTAATAGAAATGTCCCTGTTCTGAAGGAAGCGAGGACTGAATTTTCCCACTAGCTAGAGCTATTGTGTCACAGAATTTCAGGTAAGTTGGTCGAGCTATTGATGTTCTTGCCATTGACACTGAAACTTGCTTCAGCTTCTTCCAGCCAGGTAGGGCTTCTACCTGGGCTGCAGATGAGAATAAAATATTCAATGAAGAACTCCTTCGATGACCACATTGGGAAAATCTGAAAAAGAAAAAGAAAGCTGCTTTTCTTAACATGCACCAACGACATATAATCGTGTTTATGGACGAAGCGTCAGAACCGCTACATCTCTCTCGAGTCCACATGACCGAGCCATTTGCCCTTGGTCAGGAAAGAAGGTCAGAGATCAAGGCCATAGTGTCAGAGGCCAGGGCTGCTACTTGGGCCTATTTACCCACGCCTAGGAGTGCTACTATTTGTACTTGTCAACCAGAGGCCATTTTGGCTCCCACCAGGCACTGCGGGATTACACGGCCAGATTTGGAGTGTTACCGATTCAGGGGCTGCTCTTCCAATGGTTAATGCCGCTAGGCCCCGGCTCTTTATCCGGATGCTTCCTCACAAGGAAGATGGATGACGCTGGCAATTCAATTTCTAACAAAAATCTCAATACACTCGAAGGAATTCCAAGATTTCTATTGGGACTACTTGGCTGCGGTTTTTCCACTGAGGCTTACGGAGCCACTTCGTCCAACTTGTGTGTGTACTTGTGGGCACACTTCTGGAGACTAGAAATAGGGAGTCTGTCTTTTAACTCCAAATTCTAACAAAAGTCATCCTGTCCAACTTGAAACAGCAGCCTCACTTTCGCAGAAGGCAATGCAGAGGTATGCAAAGCATGTTGAGCCAGTTTCTAGTGTGAGAGCAGATATACTGGAATGCAGGGGGATCAGTCTTCTTCCCATGGCTCAGATGTTCAGGTTGAAGTTTCGATCTGTACACAATTACATCAGGAGCCAGGTGAAAGCTGGGTACTCTGGGTAGTTATTATGCAAATGAACTACCATCTTGACATTTCTTTTCATCCATCCATGCTCTATAGAGCAGCTACCTTATTAAGTCACGTGCAAGGGAACTGGGCTTTATCAGAGAAGGTAGGAAGGCTTCAGGGGACAATACAGTCCATGGCAAGGGAGCCTAGAGAATTCAGAGTCATAGGTGGAAGTGAGGCAGTGTGTGTGGGGGGGGGGGGGCTGGTGCTCAGGAGGACATAGGTACCAGGTCAGTCCTATGAAGATCTCATGGGAATGTATCAGAGATGTGCTGAGGGTATTGAGGGATTTTAAGTGAAGCAAGACATGAACTTTTGAAAGATGACTGACTGTCAGGCCGAGAACGGACTGAAGCGAGTATGAGGTGGATACAGATCAGCCTGGTTACTGCGATAGTGCAGAGGAAAATGCTGCTGCAGGACACAGAAAAGCGGATGGAGAAATGAAGGATGTGACCTGCTCACAGATACAAGTGACTAGGAAATAAAAGGGAGGAGTCAAGGATTAAGCTGGCTGGGGTGGTGTGTGCTTGTAATCCCAGGAATTGAAAACTGAGGCAGGACCGTGAGTTCAAGGACAACCTAGGTTGTGTAGTGAGAGAAGGTCTGGAAGGAGAGGGAAGACCAGAGGGTTGTGGGGGGAGAAGCTGAGGAATGAAAGGGAATTAGAAGGAAGCCAATCATTTCAGTTTGGGAGCCGCTGAGTTTGAGACACCTTTGAGTCTAGTCAAGGGCGAAGTCAAGTACGAAGCTGGAGATCTGACTGATTTCCCTCAGCAAATGTTCACTGAAAGGGCCCTGCATCCTGGGCAGTCACCTCCCAGCTCTAGGAACACAGATGACTTGTTTTAACAGCGGTGAAGGATTTCACACCAAGACCTTCCTTACCGGTTATTGACAAGTTGGCGAGTGAAACCAAGTTCATGACTTGGGCCTGGCACACAGTATATACTTGGTCATTACCACATGCCATACACACATCTAATTACCAGACATAAAAATTACAGCCTCTGCCCAGGCCATGAAACAGGTGCTAGTAAGCAAATGATAGAAATAAATGTTTAAACACATCTCTCTACTGTACGATTAGTGAGCTTTCTCTCTGGCTAATGACACTGGCTTTCCGAGTGTGTACCTTTCTGCTATACCACACACACACACACACACACACACACACACACAATATTCATAGATCACAGCTTTAAAAGCCTTCAGTAGCCTATAAATCTGTGTATTTGAACAAATGGTCTAGCTAATTCTAATTTTAAATTTATTTCTCATACAGATATTAATAAAGTGAACCACTGATTAATTTTCAATAAAATATCCAAACATATTTCACAGGGGTGGCATATTGCTATCCTTTGCCATCTGAAATCTGAAAATCTACTTACAGACAGTTAATTTACACCGTGAACATATTTAACTTAAGAGGATTCAACAAAGTCCCATAAAACAATGAAAACCCCGTTCATTATGTCCGATGAGTAATTCTACACCGTGATTAATATGGATTAGAGGCAAGGACACAAAGCAGGGCACGGGTTACAGGACAGGGGACAGGAAAGGGAAGGGCGGCTCAGCATGAAAGAGCCACTTGAGCAGATTTGAATGAGAGGCCAGAGGAGCCAGATGTGAAGATTTCCAGAAGGAAGTGCTCCCTGCACAGGAAGCAACCAGTAGGGGAGACTCTCCAAAGGACATAGTCTGCAGCCATTTCTACTGAAGGAAGCCAACAGGGTGATCTCAGGAAAAGTGAATAGCCTGGAAGGTCTATCAACCTGATGGTCAGCGATGGGACAAGTAGGTATTGGGCCTGCCCCCACTCACTTGTTCCACTGCCCTTTAGACTGTAGATTCAGGCTTCCCCATGGCTTTGACCGAATACAACGCCCATTCCTGTTTGACATACCCAGGGAACTGCTCTTTCCTTGGTCTCCCATTGGGAGGAGAGGGGAAGGAACACAACCTGGGATACACTTCTTGATATTTATACTGACATGCCTCTATCTAACAACATTCTCCGTGAGCAACAAAAACAGAACAAAGCTGTACAGAGGCTGTCTTAGAGAGAGAGGAAGTAAAAGCTGCGAAGCTATGACATTCAACATGAGGCCCGGGAGCTGCAGGCCCACCAAGCATGCAGACTGGAAGATTCAAGGAGGAAGCAGCAGGTGTTTGGGTGGGGGGAGGGTTGGTGAGGCAAATGCCCTAGAGGTGTAGCCAGCAGGGCTGGCCGGGTCAGTAGAATGGGCAGGGCAGGTGTCCTTGGGGAGAGGGTTGGCATGGTGGGTGCACTTGAGGCCCAGGGTGAGTCACAAAGTAGCTGGAACCAAGTGGGGTACGCGAGGAGAGATGATGTGGAACAGACCACAGAGCTCTTGTGAGCCACAGCAGGAGTGGAGTCTGCGTTGGAAATACAATACCACCTCTCGGCTGCACGGATGGGGTAGTCCAAGGCCACAAGCAGATTACTTAAAGAAAAGCTCAGTAAGCAGCGTCCAGTCTTTGATGGGAAGGCCAAGGGCGAGACAGCACTTGAAGGGAGAGGATGTGGCCAGCACACAGAAAGCTCATGAAAGGGCACGCACGACAAAGAAGAGCACCTTCCAGAATATTCAGCCACGTTGACGATGCCTACCTGGGTGCTTGAAAAGGGCCATTTTGTATTTTTCCAGAAAATTTAAGACAAAGGCCAGAACGTGCACTTTTGAGGCTGTCAAGAGAATTCTCTCTGGAGGCCAGAGATGGCTCATGGGTTAAGAGTTAAGAGCACTGGCTGCTGATGCAGAGGACTTGGGTTTGGTTCCTAGCACCTACATGGGGGTTCACAAACACCGACAGCTCCTGTTTCAGGGACCTCTGCAGGTCCACAGGGAGTTCATATACATATACGCAGCAAGACACTCATGCACATAGAATAGAAATAAATAAATCTTTAAAACAGAGGGTATTCTCTTGACTTTTGTTGTCAAAAGCTAGTAAGACAATGATCAGTTATCAGCCGTTCTTTTTTATTTCATTGGCGCATATGTGTGCACACATGTGATTACACATGGAAGGCAGAAGTCTCAGGAGCTGTCCCCCTCGTTGTTTGAGAAACAATGTGGCTGAAAGCACATTGCTCAGTGAAGCTGGCTGAGCAGTGAGCTCCAGGGATCCTCCTTTTGCCTCCAAAGTGCTCGTTTACGACTGCGCCATGGTGCCTGGGTTCTGCTTGCTTTATTTATTTATTTATTTATTTATTTGTTTGTTTATTTATTTATTTTTTTCTCAATGTAGGTTGTGTGCGCAGAACTCAGATTTTTATGTTTGAATGGCAAATGCTTTACCAATAAATCTACCTATCCGGCCTCGGGTCTCTAGGCAGAACATCTAAGATGTAACGAGAGTGGACGTGAATGGGAGCCGGTAGCTCTCAAGATCCCCACACTCGGTATTTTCAGGAATAATGGCTTCCCCTCACTGAAAGGCATCTTAACAACACAGTGTGGTACAGACAAAGTTCCTCTAAGGCCGGAGGAATCTAATTTCCAAAACTGGGTCTGCCAAAGTTCTAAGACTATAACATGAGGGTTGGCCACTGTGCCCCTGTATCTCCCTGTCCACCAAACCCATTAATTACAGTTATTCTCAAATAGGAGTTGCCTTATTTTGGTCTACACTAGCTAGTGACCAACAACACACACCTTCACCTTCCTGCTTCCCACATTTGCCCTGACGCTGCTTCCCAGAAGGCCCCTCGGTCTCCACTGTCAAAGTGTATACTGTGGTAGGTGCTGCTTAATAAGCTTAAAGAATCAGATTTAAGGATCACAAACTATAACCCCGCCCCCTCTCACTTCCACCAAGCCCCTGGCTATTCCAGACCAGTCATTACTATTTTCTCCACTGCTGCCAGAACTCTAGACAGGTGCATGAGGAGGGAGAATTCCAGAACAATTATGTATGGAATCATTTTACAAGATAATGACTATTTAATCTAGACTGGGTTGAACTGTATTTACTAAACATAATATTTTTAATATAACATTGGCTAATATGTTAATTAATTAATATAAATATTTTAAGTATAGGAAGCAGTCTTTAAAAGGGGTAATTGTTCCTCACTGAGAAGACATGCATAAAAAGCCACCATGAAACCATATTCTTTAGAGCTGAGGCAAATCTCTGAGCAGCGTTAGAGGGGGTCTCAGAGTGAACTGTGCTTGCGTCTGGTCACCTTTCCTTCCCGGCAGGCAAGCGGGTGACCCGACTACAAGCCCCGTGCTACACAGCAGTCTCCTCTCCAGCTCGTAGGAAGGTTTAGTTGACAGAAACAATGGATCCTTCATCTATGCCTTCTTGTGACTTGGTATTTGTCATTCCCAGAGGCTGAAGACCTGGTGTGCTAAAAGCCAAGAAGGAAAACCTGGGCCTCAGATGGTCCACCTGAGTCCGGCAAGTCACCAACATCCCCGAGCCGGAATTTTGCCCATTAGCCAATGATATTACCTGCTGAGCCTATTTTATGAGGCCGCCTGCAAATGAACTAAGATGATGCTAAGAATGCCCTCCAGGAACATTGCATAGGAGAACACTTTGAGAGGGACTCTGGGGAACTGGAACCGAAAAAGGACGCATGCTGAAATATCGATTATGGTCACACTTAAATCAATTAGCTGTATTTAAAATACACAACTTAAAAATATATAGTCTATCATCCAAGACACTGAAGCCTAAATGGAAACGCAGGTATAGTTGCAATGCATGCGCACAGCTTTGGGAAGGAAGCATTTTTTAAGAAAGACTAGAACCTTTAACCTGAACTCTGACCTCTAGATTAAAAACAAGCAGCAGTCTGAAAAACATCACAAAAAAAGAGAAGAAAAATAAGTACCTTTATCCCTTCTTTTCTCTAATTCAAAATAGGCTAGGAAGAGAGAAAGAAAAATTACATTTCCTCCTGAAAGGCCGGCCCCAATTAAAATTCTAAATGTCTCTTACACCAAGAGCACCGGTTTATTGGCAGATGATTAAGCCCTGGACCGATGTCACTCTGTTAGACCCGTATTACAAACGTGGTTTATGTGGTGCAGGGGCAAATCAGTAAAGAGCAGTTAGCAGATGACAGGTTTGATTACCGCTGGCTGCAGGCAAGACGTATGGATCCCCGAGGAACAGCAGCACCGGCTGGTGGGACAGCTTGCTGGAAAGGTCGAAAACAGGCATGTCAGCATCAGGGGACGATGGTAAACAGAAAACACTACAAACTAGCTTTGAGGGGATCAGACTGCTGTGTGGGATGTCTCTAGGTCTCCGCATCCACCAGCGTGGGTGAATAACAGCGCGCACACAGAGGGAAGCCATGGCAGCTCACTTGCTTCCCAATATTTCTCTTTGGGATGTGAGACAGATGCTCATCTATTCAGTAAATACCACTGCCGGGAAGTACTTTCTGAAACTCTGGGGTTTGAGCACAAGTACAACAGTACTCTTACTACTTGCATGAAGCCATATGGGGCACTTAATTAACCCCTTTTATGCCGAGTTACAAGCAATTAGCCCTGCAAATTCCTAGCAAATAGTTATCATCTTCAAACCAATATCCAACATAGGTTTTCAAGAGGAACACAACTTTAAACAGGCGTACCATGGGTAGTTAAGACACTGAACAAACTCAGCTCTATTACTGATCTCTATACCCAATTCCTCGTTGATCGACATCAGTTCTTACCTTGACTCTTCAGATTCTGTCTCATCAAAAGATCTGAAATTTTTATAAAAGGAAAAAACCAATTAAGTCGGACCAATATTTATGGCAACAAAACAAAGGTTAGTAGCCTCAGCAGTGAAATGGGAAACAATCAGAAAGGTTGTGTACAGCTGACAACTAATCCTAAGAAATCTTTAGCCTGGGAGATTCTGGGCATTTCAAAATTTCCTTAAGATCATTTAAAAATCGTACGGCCTTATTACTGTTTGGGGGTTGGAATAGAAATAAAGAGACCTCATTCTCCGTAATTGTTAAGATTTCTGTGCAAAACTCAAGAGCAGCCATAAACTTGCCCTCCTAGGAAACATGAATACACAGGTTGGGACAGAACACACTGGCCACATAGACTACTTGGTGAGTATGGAAGATAATTCAGGCTGTGGGGTGAGCAGCAAGTGGCCACAGCGCTGAGGCGGTGCGGCGAAAAGTGTCTACTGAGGTGCAGACAGCTCAGGTTTAACCTGATCTCAGGAAAGGGCTGGGGTCGGAGGGAAAGAACGGGTAGAGCCCCTTCCCCAGGTGGGTTTGTGCTGCCTTATGTCTCTGTGGATCGACACTGGGCAGGGGTGTCGCTGAGCTTTCAGAGGCTAGCTCAGAATTCATCTCTAGCTGCTGGTGATGTTGCTCCCCCAGTTCCATGGTTAACAGGGACTGGGGACCACAGTTAATCAGTTACGAGTTCCTGAGGGAAGACAGTAGCCCTCATGGAAGGTCTGGGTTCTGCCGCGTGGACGGCTTGGGAAAAACACTTAGATATTTTGTCTCTGACCAACAGCCAAATGAGGGGTGTTGGATCAATATTCTCTAAAGTCATCTATAGCTTTAAAACTATGTGAATATGGGAACTGGAGGGATGGTTCGGTGGTTAAGATCCTTGCTGCTCTTCCAGAGGATCTGAGTTTGGACTCCAGCACCCATGTCGGGCAACAACACACAACCGCCTAGAACTGCAGCTCTGGTGGCTCTGACGCCCTCTTCTGGATTCCACAGGGCACCCTCTTCACGAGCATGGCACACACAGACACAAGCATACACTCAAATGATGAAAGTATAGGTTTAAAAAGCTACATGAATATGTATACTTGGCACAAGCCAAGGACAGCCTGGATTCACAAGTAGCATCTGCGGTATTACGGGACAGCATCATTTAAGAGGGTAGTCCCTTCTGCCTAAGCATGAGTTTTGCCTGGACCGTTTGCTGCACGATGGAGGTGAAGACTTGGGAGGGATCCCTCTCCCGATAAGCAGAGGGATATGGGAGAGAACGATGCCTCAGCTCAGAGCTTACACGTGGCCAGCTTGCCCTGCGGCACCGCTCTGGGATGTCTGTGAGGACAATCAGTTATCCAAGAGTTACTTGAGATGCACACCCATAATGCAAATAGCGGTTCTTACCCACAACTTTCTGCCTTTGGTAGAGAGGGCAAGTGTCTGACATTGAGGAAATCAAGGAAGAGTTTGGGGAGTTCTTCGTTCTCCAGAATGACGGCCTGTGGAAGCAGAAAATGGAATTAGAGCCGGGAGGGGAGTCTGTTAGATCCATCAATCAAAGGAACTCCATCAAAAAAGTCATAAGCGCCCATCAAAGTCATCGCCAGCAACATTCCCAGGGTTGATACGAGGAGTGGATTCAGCCTGGCACACACTACGCACCCCTGCACTTTACCCGCCGCTTCTCGGGAGATCTACAGAAGGGTCTCCTACCTTCAGACGTTCCCTAACAGACAAGACATTGCAGAAGCACCGGACATGGTTCAAGCCTTCACAGAGACTCTGATCCATCCTGAACAGTCCAACCCCAGGCACATCAGCTACACAAATCAAATTTTCCCTATTGAGTGATAAAGTATTTACATTTCCATAACAGGCCACTACTCTAGGAAATACTGCAGGTTTTCCATCTGGAAGATGTAGTCTAAGCCCTTAGTTATCACCTGCTCCTGCACTAGGACCAGTTGACATTTATTGCCATCTGGACAGCTCCACTTAAAGGGTCAGTGACAACTTTACCGCTAAGTGTAAATCAGGGCATATATTGGAAAAAATCTATAAAGTTCTTCCACTTAAAGAGCTCTGCTAAAGAGCTGGCATAATGGCAGAAACGTGTCAGCACACCGAGATCCAAATGATGCAAAATGTGGAGGAGAAATCTGATGGAGGCTATGGGGTGCATTTTCATATTTATGCATTTTTAAAAGAATCTGCCAACGTGTGTTAACAGATTATACACCCGATATCCGGTCTTCTCTCTCCACTAAAGTGCGAAGACTATGCAACTGCTCTTTTGCTTGTCTTCTGAAAGAAGGGTCTACAATCTAGCCCAGGCTGGTCCTGAATTCACAACAGTCCCCTTGCCTCGACCTCCTCAGTGTTGGGATTATAGTTAGGTGTGGCTCTTAAGGGTCTACTTAAATAACATTCCATGGGTGATCTCCCCCCCCCCCAATAAGCGTATGTTATCTAAAGAATAATGGAAATTAGTTAAATATTGTCTGACAGAATCTTAGGAACAGCCATATAACTGGTACAGAAGATACAGGACAAAAGGATCAAACTCTAAGCGCCTCTGTGCATTGTAGGCATGCCACCATTTCCATACTGAGCTGCTCATTTCTCACACGTGAGGAATCCTACTGCCCACTGCAGATCACATACATGGATTAGGGCTACACAGGCTGTCGGGCCTGAGTAGGCACTGCGATGCCCAATTTCTCCTGCTATTCAGGTCCCAGAGACAGCCCACCTGGAAAGTTTGGGTGTCTGGGCTGTCACCATCCCTCCCAGAGTCCACTGTACCAGAAAGACGTTAAGGACTAAGAGGAGAAGATAGAAGAGTGATGAGGAATTCTCCTCTAGTCGTTAAATAAAGCTGCCTGGGTACTTGCTACAGCGGGTGCTGGCGCCCAGCAGCGAATAGAGCAGGTTCAGGGGAGGACGGGATAAAGAAATAAGCGCACACACAACTCAAACAACCTAAAGCACAGTGACGAGGTTAAGATTCTGCACAACACTCTCCAAGTACGTTCGCTCCCACTGATCCATCCATGCACACACCCCTCTGTCATCTCAGATCTCATTTTTTTTTCTATTTATGCAAGCAGAAAAACAAAAACTTGAGAGAGCCAAGAAGGAAGGAGGCTCTCTGCCCACGGACAGAATTTCCGACATTTCAGCTCACTGCTTTCCAATTGCTTGACATTTATTATGAGTCCTACCTATCCAATAGAGTTTCTGAACATCCAGAGATCATTGCTTTGGTAGCCTAAGAAGTTCTAGAAGTTTGTGCCATGACAAAGGCTAGAAGGACCACTAAGATGTTTCTAGATGTCTGCTTAACAAGACAGCCTAATGCCCACTTGAAAAAAAATGACTTAATGCTGTGTTAAATATGGAAGAATTTGCCCCAGAAAAAATTAACAACTTGTATAGGTGGTAGCCTTCAGATTTAAAAAATAATAATAATAAAAAAACAGGGGTGTTACATTCTTATCTCCCCCCGACCTTTTTAAAAACAAATTAAATCAATAAGAAGTGTGGGACACTTTTAATGACCTGAACTACTTAATTTCCAGGCTCTTTAGACATATCATCCATCACTGCACTATGGGGGAAGACATCTCTTGAGTGTTCAGGGGGCTCCTTCGGTTTTATTAATGCAAGATTTAGGGAATTTTAACAAGGTGAATTGTTTATTTGCCTTGACAGATTGGCTTACAATGCACTGGCTACATCCACAGCATGATCATTAATGACAAAAGACAGGCAAAAAGCTGTTTACACTGCACACAGGGACAGGAATTAATCCTGCTCCCTCTCCCTGGAGCTCTCCAAACAGATGACCACATTGTTTTAGGTAAGACATCCTGGCAGACAGAAACACAGAAAACTCTAGAAACTTACAGGCACCTATTTTTGTTCCAGGAATATTCTCAATTAATATTTTCCAGAAAACAATGGTCAAGCTACTCTTTAGGGCTCAGTGTTATAAAGAAAGCAGTACCCCGAGTGTGCAGGGAGTGTTGCTAAGGCTTTCAGCTACATGGTCAGGAATGTTTCCTGAGCTCTGTTAGGAAACCTCACACACACACAAAAAGAATTAATACTCTAGTCTGAACAAAGATGAAAAATTTACCTAATTTAATATAATATGAACAAATAAAAACAACTGTCATTAATTAGTACAGAGATGCCAAATAGGAATTAAATTAGTTCAACTCTGTCTTTTGGGCCATAAACACATGATCTCATGCAGGGAGACTGAACAGGAAGTGGGGCCTCCCGGCTATTCCACTTCCATCTTCATTCCTTGAAATGCTCGTCTCCAGGAGCAACCATCCCTCTCCAGGGCCACACCCTGACTCATCCCGCATCTTCAGAACCCATCTGGTTCACATCACCCAACTTTATTCCCCAGATAAGTTCCTAATTGTATAGAAAAATCACATTTCTAAATATGAAATCATGTCCCCACTGGTTTAGACTGCTGGTCTTTGTTAGTTTCTGGTGGTATTCACTTTTAGTCTCAAGGCAGTGTGGTGCACGGGGCATGTGGGTTTGATTGTCAGACTTGGTCTCCATCCTTTCTCCTTGTACTTACGGGGTTCTCGTGAGGATTCAAGGAGACATCCCCAAGCGTATCTGGCATACAATTAGCATGTAAGAGATTTCACTCTCGTGTGTGTGTGTGTGTGTGTGTGTGTGTGTGTGTGTGTGTCTTGATTTCCAACTCATTTTTAATCACTTGGGAAGTTTGGATGATTATCTCTATAGTGACTAGATGTTAGCCACACATGTTCTGTGGATCCTTTTGAAAACGGAATAAAACTCAGTCATTGTCCCCCACCTCTCTCTCTCCCTCCCCGTCTCTTTCACACACACACACACACACACACACACACACACACGGAGGAGGACACCTCAGCAGAGGACACCTTCCTTTAGCTAGGCTGTGCAGTCATATTGCTGAGCACTTGAGTACACTTGGCCTGGAATCCGACATGCCGACGATTGCTGTTCACAAGCCTCCCCAAAGATGCCCTGGCTTCCTGTGTGGGGTCTCCCTCTCCGTCAAAAATTGCTGGAGTGTGTGCTTCCTTCACATCAGGGTCTTCAACTTTAGACTATGGTTAAAAAATATTTGTCCAAGGGCTGGAGAGAGGGCTCAGTGGTTAAGAGCACTGGCTGTTCTTCCAAATGACCTGGTTTCAATTCCCAGCACCCACATGGCAGCTCATAACTGTTTGTAACTCTGAGATCTGACAGCCTCACACAGACGTACATGCAGGCAAAACACCAATGCGCATAAAATAAAAGTAAATTTAAAAAAATCTTTGTCTAAGTGGTGAAGGCATCATGGTAAAGATTTCTTCCTGGTGGTGGACAAAAATCTACTATCCCCTAGTTCTAGCAAGCATTCTATTTCACTGCTTCTGTGTTGTGTATCTTCTACATAAGACTCAAAAGTGTAACAATTACTGGTGCCTAGGATTCCCCAACATGAGGAACCAGTAGGGAAAATATGATTTGAAACCTTTCAACCCTTAGCTGGTGAAGCCTAGACTCCACACATATCTGGTAAGGAGTATTTTGGCGGTGGGACGGTGCAAAGTCTCAGGCCCAGAGCTGTCTACTTGAGATCCTGAAGTCCCTGGCAGTAGAGTTCCCATGCTGCTCACCCGTTCTTGCAAAGCTGGCATGTGGGGCCTGGCAAATAATTTACGAAGTAAGAGAGTGTAGCTCAAAATGAAATGGCCAAATTAGAGAAAAGGCTAGAAATAAATTCCATTGCATTTTACAGGTATAAGAGCCGAGTAAAATACTGTAAGAGGCACAATCAATCACAGACCAAGACAGAGAGTAGCTTTTTCCACGCAAGTGCTGTGGTCTCCAGTGGCGGGTTAGCATGAAGGGTTTCTGCTACCCGCTGTCAAGAGAGCTGAGTCATCCTCCCACCCCGCTCAGCGCATTTGCCTCACCCCCAACAACCCAACAACCCAAGAAAGAGAAAGAATACAGCGAAGGAGAGCCAGAGACAACAAGGACAATAACTAAACAAACAAAAAAAAAATCACACTTTCCACAGAAGTAGGTCGCTCAAACAAGGAGAGATGGTAGAGGACCACGGGAGAGAGGGAGGCTCTTTCGTTGCAAGGGCTAACTGGCCACACATGGTAATATACACTCAGCATGTTCAAAGCAAGTCCGTCTCGGTAGGGGCAGAAGAAGTTCAGCTCCAACTGAACTCTGTTCAGTGAAGCTAGGAGAACACCCCAAGGGTGGGAAAAGAAACACCAAGGGGCTTCTAATCGATGAGGGCCCTTTAACATGCCTGCAGCAGAAAAACCCTCCAGGCGAGCTGAAAATGCACCTGTGGGTTTTCACGCATCCAGTTTCTCACTTAGGGATATATGCCGGACACACATATGTGAAGACGACGACCATGGGAATGGAATTCAATCAAGGAACTGCACCGAGTGTGTTTGTACTGTGA